CTTGAAGGCCAGGATGGCCAAACTTGTCTCTCATACTTTGGACATATTGTCAGGAGGAACCAGTATCTGGAGAAGGATATCATGTTTGGTAGGGTGGAGGGTCAGAGAAAAAGAGGAAGACCCCCAGCAAAATGGATTGGCAAAGAGGCAGCATCAATTAACAACAACACTAGCCAGAAGAGTGTTGGCTCAAATCCACCTAGTAGCATTGTGCCAAGAAAACCCTATGGAGCAGTTCTACTCTGTAATACATGGTGTCATCAAGAGTTAGAGTTGATTTGATGGCATTGAGTGGTTTGGTGTTTGTATGTAAAGATATTTAGTATAATAATACAGTGGTAAGTGCTACAACCAAGCCTCAAGTCTGAAACTCTCCTATTAAATTTCTTTTTAAATGACAGGCTTCCTTTATGAGAAATACAGAGTGACATACAAACCACTGAATTAAAGCACACAACTTATGGCATCTTGTGACCTATGGGATGAAAACTCAAAGAGGACAACAGAAAGAAGGACTATGGGCCCAGAGAGGGGGTTACCTTGTTCTCCTTCATTAGTGCCTCTTCTACTGCCTGGCGACTGTATTCTCCAATGTACCAATCATGGTGCTGGACACCCTGCAATCCAGGTTCAATAATAAACATTTTAGATCAAAAGGAAGTTCTAATTAATCCATCCATCCATTCATTCATCCATTCATGCATTCAACATTTACTTATATTTCACCAATCCAATTACAATTGAGTTTATAGCAAATATGCAGTATGCCAAATCCCGTTTCTGAACCTGGAAAAGCCCATCGATGCTTGGAGAAGATGGAAACAGAAGTAGTTCTTACTGTTGTTACTTGCTGTTGAGTCTGTTCCAACTCATAGTGACTTTAAGTAAAACAGAACAAAATGCTGCCCAACTGTACGATATCTTCATGAACGTCAGTATGTTTGAGTTCATTGTTTCGACTCTTGTGTCAGTCTATCTCACTGAGGGCTTCTCTCATGTTCAGTGATTTTATCAATCATGATATCCATTGCTGGGTTTTCCTGTGACATGTCCAAAGTTAAGTGAGCCAAAGCCTTGCATGTCACCAGGAAAAACTCTTAGAGGGCTGTGCTTCTCTGGTGGGAGCATAAAAGATGGTTGATGCATTTAGATGGTGCTCCAACAGAGCGCCGAATAATTCCAAATCACCTGAGAGACCTTCATCTGCCTTTCAATTCTCCAGCCAGTCTGCATAACTCCACAGAGTGCTCACATGTCCCTGCATCTCTCAGAGATTTCTAATCTCTGCTTTTAATGGAAGAAGAGCGGTTCCTATGCCGAGAGTCTCAGGGATGCAACAGGATTCTACTACTAAAAGAATAACTTTCTGTGCTTTCACTGCAATTAACTTTAAAGTTACTTTCTATCTATAGAATGTAACACTGGATTTTAAATTTATATTAGTAATAAAAAGTTTCTATTTTAATTCATCTAAGTAAAAAGAATCAATATACAGCATATTAAGTCAATAGGGGTCCTGGTGTGGTGCTGTAGGATAAACACTGGACTGTTAACTTCAAGGTTGGTGGTTCGAACCCACCAACTTCTCCTCGGAAACCCTATGCATTGTCACTATGAGTTAGAACCATCTCGAGGGCATGTAACAATAATGACAACAAAATATTATTGATATTACATAAATATGACACAAATCATAAAGCTATATTAAGATAGCTAAAATCAGAGACATCCTGCTCTGTCCAAGCCGGTCTCAGGTTCTAAAAGGGAACCTGATTTTGAATAGACTTCTAATTCAGACCCAGGGGCCCCAGTACTTCTGAAGAAGATGGAAGAGAGAAAAGGGACCAGGTATATAAGAAGGGACATTAAAACAAGTTGTTGCTGTTAAGTGCTGTCGAGTCTGTTCTGACTCATAGCAACCCCATATAGGGTTTCCAAGGAGTTGCTGGTGAATTTGAACTGCTGACCTTGTGGTTCAAACTGACCTTGTGGCCCAGTGCTTAATCCCACAGCACCACAGCAGGACCCCATTAAAAGAAGTTGTTGTTGTGAAGTGCTGTTGAGTCTGTTCCAACTCATAATGACTCTGTATATGGTTTCCGAGGAGCAGCTGGTGAGCTTGAGCCCCTGACCTTATAATTTAACTGACTTCACAGTCCAGCACATTAACCCACAGGGCCACAATAGGAATCCATTAAAAGAAGTATGGAATAATAATTCCCAAAGCATAATTTAAAGGTATGGGACTCCTTTCAGATTGAGGTTCAAATGAATATAAATATAAATGTAAAACAAAAGATACTGTAGGACTCCTGGTGTGGCACTGCAGGATCAGCAGTAGACTGCGAACAAGGTTGTCTGTTCAAACCCACAAGCTGTTCCTTGTAAGCCTTATACAGGGTCACTATGAGTTGCAGTTGACTTGCTGGTACTTAACAAAAACAACAACATTGTATACACTGTGTTTCTGCTTAAAAATTAATGACCCATACAGCAGGGCATTGAACAATGTTAAAGATGGCCGGACACAGAATAAGAATATCCTTCAAAACTTTATGGTGGTCGTTGTGTGCTATTGAGTTGGTTCTGACTCATAGTGACCCTGTATAGAATTTCTGAGGCTATAAATCTTTACATGAGCAAAAAGGCTCATCTATCTCCCATGGAGCAACTGGTAGATTCGAACTACTGACCTTGTGGTTAGCAGCCCAGCTCATAACCCACTATGCTACCAGAGATCCTTCAATACTTTTTGTGATAGACTTTATTGTTGTTGTTAAGTGCCATCAAGTTGGTTCCAACTCATAGAGACTCTGTATAGGGTTTCCAAGGAGTGGCTGGTGTGCTTGAACCACTGACCTTTCAGTCCAGTGTCTATCCTACAGTGCCACATCACGACTCCAGTGAAATACTTTAATAGGTAGTATTATAGGTGATAGAATCCTGGTGTGGTGCTGCAGGATAATGCACTGGACTGCAAGATCAGTTTGAACTGAAAGGTCAGTGGTTCAAACCCACCAGTTGCTCCTCAGAAACATTATACTGGGTGGCATTGAGTTGAACAAACTCCACGGCACTTAATAACAACAACAGCATTATAGGTGATGGAGATAAGAGCTTAGAAACTATAAAGAAAAGTCTTACCCTCCCCAGTCTCTGGCCCCATGTAGGCCGCAAATGGTTTGAGAAGAATGGATAGTAGGATTGAGCATGTTTTAGAAAGAGACTAGGAAAAAGATGAAGGCCAAACAAAAACACAACTCTTAATTGCTTGTATCTCCTGCATCCTTAAATCCCTCCTCCACCTGACCCAGAAACAGGGATCATAACCCCTAGAGTATTTTCTGATACATTATGGTACTGCATACATGATTGTTGCATTGGTCAAAGAAAAAGAATATACAGTATATCTATAATTTATCAAAAAACATTGCAAATATGTAATTTCTATTACAGTCAGTAAATATAAAACACATGCTTATATCTCCCTCTCTCTCCCTCTTTTTGGGTTTAATTAAAGAAAAATAAGAATTTGATATGCAAGTTGAAGAGTCTGGTGAAAGAGCAGATCATATTGGGTAATACCCAAATACAATGTTGCCAGGAAAAAAAAAAACAAAATCCAATCACCATGCTTTCATTTTAGGCACTATTCAATAAGCTCTATTCTGATGCTAAGTATATCAAGAAAGACTTGGTGGAGAAGAGTGTGTTTTACCTTGTCCTCAGACCATGGAGGGAAAGGCTTTCTCCCGCTGACTGGGGACTGGCATCGCTGAGGAGAAAAGGACTGCAGGCTTCCCTTATTAACTGGGGGGAAAAAATCAATTCACATTAAAATGTGACTTAATTAATGTCTCAGCATGTCTTCTTCCAACATGCAGCTTGAACCCATTCACATTTTCTCTTCCCCATGGTGATCATCTTGGTCCACATTTTCATCTCTTCTTAGTCTGATGGCTGTAGCCATCCCTGTACTGTTCTCTTTCCTCGGTTCCTATACCTCCCACTCCCTTTCAATAGAACAAGCATTAAAAAATTTAATTGTGATGTTGCTACAATTCCTGGTGAAAATCTTTTAGACTTAAGAGGAAATCTTTTTAGACTTAACAGGAAATCGATAAAGGCTTGAACAACCTGATTTTAGTTTCATCACATCCCACACTGTTCACTCTTCTCTGGCCAGAATGGATCCTGTTCAGTAGCTTAAACATGATAAACTTGATCAAAACCCAAGAAACACCATTGCTCTTTTATTTTAAAGTTTTTTGTTGTTTTTTTTTAAATTAAAAACTGGAACATCAATTTTTTAACTTGAAAGAATGATAGACAAACATGTGTTATTCATACTTGAGTGTTTGGCTGATATTTTATTTACTTTAAATTTATTGTGAATTAGGGGAAGGTTTACAAGCAGTTAATTTGTTTTAAATTGCTGTTGTTAAGTGCTGTCAAGTCGGTTCCGACCCATAGCCACTCTGTATAGGGTTACTGAGGAGCGGCTGATGAATTTCAACCGGCGATCCTTTGGCTCAAACTGACTTTGCAGTCCTATGCATTAACACACAGGGCTGTACCAGGACAATTCATATACATTTTGTTTCATTTCATTTAATGCAACCACCTCAATGTAACAGCCATATAAATGGAGACAAGATTAAAGTTGCCAAAGACTTCATTTTGCTCTGACCAACCATCAATACTCAAGGAAGCAGCAGTCAAGAAGTCAAATGACTTATTGCACTAGGCAAATCTGCTGCACAAGACCTCTTTAAAGTATTCAAGAACAAAGATATCAGTTTGAGGACTAAGGTGCACCTGACCCAAGCCATGGTATTTTCAACAGCCTCATATGAATGTGAAACTTTGGGCAATGACAAAAAAAGACTGTAGAAGATGGATGCATTTGAGTTATGGTGTTACAAAAGAATATTAAAAGTACCATGGACTGCTAGATGAGCAAACAAATCTGTGTTGGGAGAAATACAAAAAAATCAGAAGGCTCCTTGGGTGGACACGATGATCAGACTTCATCTTGTATATATCACATATTTTCAGGAGGGACCAGTCCCTGGAGAAGGACATCATGCTATGTAAGGTGACAGGTCAGTGAAAAACAGGAAGATCCCCAATGAGATGGACTGAGGCAGTGGTGGCAGCAATGGACTCATGCTTAAAGATTGTTAAGATGCCACAGGGCATTGCTTCGTTATGTGTGCATAGGGTCACTATGAGCTGGAATTGACTTAAGGGCACCTAACAATAACAACTGGGCAAATTATTGAATGATACAGAATGCATCAAGAAAAGATGGAAGGAATATACAGAGTCATTGTACCAAAAAGAAATGGTTAATGTTCAACCATTTCAAGAGATACCATATGAACAAGAGCCAATGATACTCAGAGAGGAAGTCCAAAGTGCATTGAAAGAAGTGGCAAAG